GCACATGGGTTTAGAGTGTACATGGGTTTAGAGTGTACATGGGTTTAGAGTGTACATTGGTTTAGAGTGCACATGGGTTTAGAGTGTACATGGGTTTAGAGTGTACATTGGTTTAGAGTGCACATGGGTTTAGAGTGTACATGGGTTTAGAGTGTACATGGGTTAGGTGAATAAATGCCATGTGCTTTGTTTAGAATAGGCGTAGGCTAATGGATTGGGGCGCTGTACTATATTTGGACACACACACACACACACGATTCAGTGAAATATGTGAATGAGTTTTGTTGAGTTCGACGAGATGGATGTAGGCCGCTGCTTGGTTGGTAGTAGTAGTAGTAGTAGTAGTAGTAGTAGTAGTAGTAGCAGTAGTACGAGGGTCAAGAGACTTCTTCACCTGAATATTATTACATTAAGAATATTTTTTTTAGTCTGTCCAGGGATCGTCTAGTTGTTTCATCAAGCACTGACCCCCGCCCCTAAGCTTCCCAGTCCCAGAGTTAAGCTTATTTTAATCTATTTTAACTTAATATAACCAATTAGAGGTGTTAGTGGTTTCCTCCTGTATAACATAACTAATTAACCTTACATAACGAAATCCAATTTAGTTTAAGTTAACCTAATGTCATTTTGAGGATAAACTAACGACATGGCAATTGGTTTATCCTTTAAGACGAAGATGACATATTGATAGAGCAGTCAGTGACCAATACGAGGATAGCAATAATTTATTTGTTGGCGTGAGGCTTGATGGATACGAGTCAGTGTAATATTTCGTTTTGACTTCATGTTCCCGCTCGCCTGTCTACTGTTTGTTTTATTTTACTATGGTCTTTAAACCACTTCCTATGTTTAAGTTGAATATACATCAGATAAAGACTGATTAAAAGAGAGAGAGATTATTTAAACCTTTCCTCGTCATCTAGATTTGAGAGAATATGGTACTAAATGTTTTTTTTTGGTTTTTGGTTTTTTAGATGTGAAGCAAACTAAACTAAACTAAACTAACGTGATTAAAATAATACTTAATATCACTAGTTTAGGTTAGGTTAGGTTAGGTCAGTTTGCCGGGTATAATCTTTTATAAATTATAATGAGTGCCTTAGCGTCTCATATCGTCAAATGATCTTAGTAAGTTTATATTAAATTAATCTCCTAGTATTTGTAGCACCACCACTAGCCCTGCGTGCATGTTTACTAGCACCACTAGCCTCGGGTATATGTACTAGCCCTGTATTATGTAGTTGTACCACCACTAGCGCTGAGAGAGAGAGGGGGCAAGCAGGAAGCAGGGTTACTGTTGTTCCTAATTCGTTGAGACAGCGGATAGATAGCCTTGGCTCTCTCTCTCTCTCTCTCTCTCTCTCTCTCTCTCTCTCTCGTCTCAACAATACTGTATCAGCGTGAGCCTCCTCACTACTTCCTTCTTCCCTCTCCTACACACTCTTCTCTCCCACCTCGCTGTCTCCTTATTTTTCATACACCCCTCCACCCCCCCCACACTCCATCTGCTCCCCCCCCCCTCCCCTCTCTCCCTCCCCTCTCCACACTCTCTTTCCCTTTCTCATCTCCGCACCCTCCTACTTTCTCTTTCTAAACGCCGCCTCTCTCTCTCTCTTTCATACACCTTTTTTTTCCCAGGTAGGCAGGCAGGTAGGAGAGAGTTCAGGCACCCTAATGAGGAAGTGTTTTGGGTGGGCCGCCGCGCTGTGCTGGTTGTAAACAGTGTTCCGTGCGTGGCAGGGAAGGGTGGGAGGGGGGGAGGGGGGAGGCACACAACGGACTATAAGCGACCACTCACCTTGTTTACCAACTCTCGCCCACCCTGGACTCGAATCCAATTGGCCTTGGGAGCTGAAATTGATTTGTTTTATTCAGAATAACATTGATTGAACAGATTTATTTGACCTACCTGAAGATTATTTTACCTGGGTGGGTTTGGATAGGTTAGGGGTTAGGTTAGATTAGGATAGGGGTTAGGTTAGGTTTAGATAGGCTAGGTTAGGGTAGGGGTTAAGTTAGGTTGGTTATAATAATGTTAACGTGAAATAATCGGGGGGGGGAGGAGGTGATTAATTTCCAGGTGAATCTAGTTTCTTTAGCTAGAATAATATAGATTGTAACTGTCTATTTATCCAGAGTAACAGATACAAAGTGAACAACAACAACAACAACAACAACAACAACAACCACCATATGACAAAGGGTGTTTGGAGTACTGTTGACTACACTACATAACAAAACTACAGGACCATCGGTACTATATACTGTACATCTTACTGTTTCAACTTACGCTATACGCCGGGACCTGACACATCACCTGGCGTATGTGTTCAGGTCCTGGCGCGCACGCGCGTGTGTAAATAATAATAATAATTAACGGTTTATTGAAAAAGTTCTGCAGCCTCAAGGCTGAAATATACACTGGACAAAAATGACTTATTACATACTGGATTTGGTCATGGGGACACCGGGTGGTGTGGTGTTCACGTGGTGTGGTAATTCGTCCTCGGGTGTTGATATGAAGGACCTCACGTGGTCATGGAGACACCGGGTGGTGTGGGGTGGTGTCACAGTACCCCATCCTACTGGGTGGTGGTGTGTTATCATAGTCAGGTGTAAACCCAACCCACTGTTGTTCCCAGGGTGGACTGATTAACATCTCCTGGTCAGAATATGGCGGTCAATTCCCAGGGGTGCTTATCTCACTGGTGGGTCACTGCTCTCACTGGTACTGTCTAGTGCTGAATTCACTGGCTTAAACACTGTTCATCACTGTTCAACACTGGTCCCACATTTTCCCGCAACGAAATTGTCACTGTTGACGGACTTGGGGAATGGGTCGACATTGGCCAAGGGAGGCAGCTGTGCGTGTCGTTACTGCTGTACACACCCAGGCCGCTTTATCATTACACGTGGCATCTTGGTCTGCTCATTCTCTTCCGATCATATCTTGAAGTTGTAACCACGAACGTTGTCCTGTCCGTAGAGTCCGTTTCTCCCAAGGTTCTGTCCGTAGAGTCCGTTAAGGTGACCTGTTTGTGTTCGTTGTTGGTCTCTACTGACAGGCGGTGAGACAGCAATATCTAGTTACGGTCAACGGGCTTTCTTCGTATACTGTCTGTCTGTCTGTCTGTCTGTCTGTCTCTTTATCTATTTATCTATCTGTCTTTCTATTTATCTATCAATCTGTCTGTCTGTCTGTCTGTCTATAGATTTGTGTGTGCATTCTTATATGTGTTATGTTCGTTTGTGTGTGTGTGTAACGTTCGTGTGTGGGTGTGTACACGTATCCATGTGTATGTCTCCGTGTGCGTACATGGATTTCATTACGTTCTCATGTCCTTGAATTCGTGTATACATTGTCGAGTGTGTGTGTGCGCTATCTTGTATGTACAGGTATTCTTTAGTATGTGCGTGTAACGAGGTGAAAGTGTGTGTGTGTGTGTGTGTGTGTGTGTGTGTGTGTGTGTGTACAAGGCCATGACAGGTGACCGCCCTGACTCCTGTAGTTGTCCAGGTGACCTTATCCCCCTCCTCCACCCCCCTTCCGCCCCCCTACTGCCTCCCCCTCCACTCCTCCCCTCCCTTCCTCCCCTTCCAACACCCTCCCCCCCTTCAACCCCTCCCCCTTCAACCCCCTCCCCCCTTCAACCCCTCCCCCTTCAACCCCCTCCCTCCTTCAACCCCTCCCTCCTTCAACCCCTCCCCTTCAACCCCTCCCCTTCAACCCCCTCCCCTTCAACCCCCTCCCCTTCAACCCCTCCCCCTTCAACCCCCTCCCCCTTCAACCCCCTCCCCCTTCGCCCCCTCCCCTTCAACCCCCTCCCCCGCCAACCCCTCCCCCTTCAACCCCTCCTCCTTCAACCCCCTTCAACCCTCCTCCTTCAACCCTTCATCCTCTCCTCCCCACCTCCTTCAACCCCTCCCATCAACCCTTCAACCCCTTCAACCCTCCCCTTCACCCTGTCCCTTCAACCCTCCTCTTCAACCCTCCTTCAACCCCTCTTCAACCCCCTCCTCAACCCCTCCCCTTCAACCCTCCTTCAACCCTCCTCCTTCAACCCCGAATTGAATTTACAGTGATACACGGCTTGGCTGACGACCTTAACCGGATCTATAGCATCCGGTTGCTTAGGTTAGGTTAGGTTAGGTTAGGTTAGATACTTTGGATGACCTTAACGGGATCTATAATGTCCGGTTACTAGGGACGTGTGTGATCTTCCTTTAACCGATGTCTTAACCGGACTTACTGTATTTAACCCGGTTATCTGGGACGTGTTATCTTCCTTTAACCGGTTATTGCGATGTTTTTAAGGTTTATTATTATCCGGAGTTACCAAGCGCCGGATAACTGAACCCATGTCCTCACTAGTCAAGATGAGTCTCTCTCCCTGACGTAACAGAGTGTGGTTCTGTGGTCGTTGACACTATGTGAGTATTGCCAAATATTCGTGGGACCTGCCTCTCTCTCTCTCTCTCTCTCTCTCTCTCTCACAGCCTACATTCTCCCTTTTCTTTCTCTCCCCAGCTCATGACTGATGAGAAAGATGGAGAATGAGAGAGAGAAAGGGAGAGAGAGAGAGAGAGAGAGAGAGAGAGAGAGAAGAGAGAGAGTGTACAGAGTTATATTTGTTCCTCAATTACTTCCCCAACACACTTCCTCCTCCTCCCTCTCTTCCTCCTCCTTCCTCCTCCTCTTCCCTCCCCCTCCTTCCCTCCTTTCCTTTCTCTCTTTCCTTTTCCCTTTGTTTGATGTTCTTCTCTTTCTCTGTCTCTCCATTTTAACTTTCTCGGCATGCACGGTCTGTCTGTCTGTCTGTCTGTCTGTCTGTCTGTCAGTTATTCAGTGTGCACGCCTTCCAATAAGTGTATGTATGTATGTATGTATGTATGTATGTATGTATGTATGTATGTATGTATGTATGTATGCATGTAGTAGAGTACACCCGTCAGCCAGTAATGACTACCAAAACATAACACTTGACCTCAGATAACCTCACTTCCTCGTTCTGGTCTCATGTACGGTGTGGTTTGAGGTGGCTGAGGTGTGGTTTGAGGTGGCTGAGGGTGTGGCTTGGAGATGGCTGAGGTGTGGCTGAGGTGGCTGAGGGTGTGGCTTGAGGTGGCTGAGGGTGTGGCTTGAGGTGGCTGAGGGTGTGGCTTGGAGGTTGAGGCGTGTGAGGTTGAGGGTGTGGCTTGAGTGGCTGAGTGTGGCTTGAGGTGGGAGGTGTGGGGGTGGCTGGAGGGTGGTTTGAGGTGGCTGAGGGTGTGCTTGAGGTGGTGAGGTGTGGCTTGAGGTGGCTGAGGGTGTGGCTTGAGGTGGCTGAGGGTGGCTTGAGGTGGCTGAGGGTGTGGTTTGAGGTGGCTGAGGGTGGCTTGAGGTGGATGAGGGTGTGGCTTGAGGTGGCTGAGGGTGTGGCTTGAGGTGGTGAGGGTGTGGCTTGAGGTGGCTGAGGGTGTGGCTGAGGTGGCTGAGGGTGTGGCTGAGGTGGATGAGGGTGTGGTTTGAGGTGGATGAGGGTGTGGCTTGAGGTGGCTGAGGGTGTGGCTTGAGGTGGCTGAGGTGGCTTGAGGTGGCTGAGGGTGGTTTGAGGTGGGGGGGTGGCTGAGGGTTGGAGGGTGTGGCTTGAGGTGGATGAGGGTGTGGTTTGAGGTGGCTGAGGGTGTGGCTTGAGGTGGCTGAGGTGTGGCTGAGGTGGCTGAGGGTGTGGCTTGAGGTGGCTGAGGGTGGCTTGAGGTGATGAGGGTGTGGTTTGAGGTGGCTGAGGGTGTGACTTGAGGTGGGAGGTGTGGCTTGAGGTGTGAGGTGTGCTGAGTGGTGAGGGTGTGGCTTGAGGTGGCTGAGGGTGTGGCTTGAGGTGGCTGAGGGAGAAGAATTGTTTTCTCTGGTGGTTAGGTTAGGTTAGGTTAGGGTTAGATTGGTTAGGTTAAGGTTGGTTAGGTTAAGGTTGGTTAGATTTGTTTAGGTTAGGGTAAGGTTGGTTAGATTTAGTTAATTTAGATCAGATTAACTCGACTAGTCAGGTTAGGTTAGGTTAAGCTGGGTTAACTTAGGTCTGGTTATTGTTTAAACATCACAACTTTATCCACAAATATTTACTTAACGTTGACTTTCGAGGAATTAACCATAAACACATTAACCAAGATCCCACTGTCATTAACCCGAGACGTTAATGTTTGATCAATGTTTTATTAACGGGACATGGTAGGCTTGGTGTAGGTAAACAAACAAGGTATTGGTGACCCTGAGGTGGTTGTTGTGTATTATTATTATTATTATTATTATTATTATTATTATTATTATTATTATTTTGTTATTATTATTATTATTTTTATTATTATTATTATTATTATTATTATTATTATTATTATTATTATTATTATTATTATTATTATTGTTATTATTATTATTATTATTATTGTTATTATTATTATTATTTTATTATTATTATTATTATTATTATTGTTTTGTTATTATTATTATTGTTATTATTATTATTGTTATTATTGTCGTTGTTGTTATTATAAACTCTGTACTGTATACTATAATAATTCTTTGCTCGTAATACAAAAAAGTTAAAAAAAATAGCTTAAAATTCAGAAGGATTGTGGAAACTGTTTTATATAAGTCAGACAGACGAACAGTTTGGGACGGCTAACATAGACTTGTTTATGAAAGTTATTTATAGAAAAGCCACAATGAACAGGTGGGTATTGTGGTGCAGTCCCCTTCACTAGTGCGTTTACAGGCCTGTTATACAAACATTCCACTAATCATAACATTGAGATATTTATTTTAATATTGTTTGACTTTGATTATTGTTGCTAGTTTTCTTCCGTCGAATCTAAACAAACACAGCTCTGCCACACTGCACAACACCCGAGGAGCCCCTGTAAACGCACTAGTGAAGGGGACTGTACACTGCCTTATTACTAAACCATCTCCACTAACCTCTTCACTATGGGGACGCCAGACGATTGTATTCAGCTCAGAGGTGAACCTGGACACAAGAGGATAAATTAATTCCTGCTCAGAACTTGAATAGAAAACAAGATAGATTAGGCAACGTGTGTTATCAAGCATATAATACACTAAAATACAATAGTCACTTGTATAGTTAACAATACAATACAATAATCACCTGTATAGTTACCAATACAATACAATAATAAAGTACTAATATCCCCCACAGGTGAGTCCTCAACAACACTGACTACTGAGGCGAGTGACTGACAGATGGTGAGTAAATTTATTCATTCATTTGTTCAATATTTTACTCAGGATTATTAACACTGACGTTATGATAATTATCTCAAGAATTACTTGTAATGCTAGTGCGTCCGGGCTGACCGTTAGTCTCTCGCTGTTTTCCTCGTTCTCTCGGAAGTGTCGGGTCGGGTCGGGTCGGGTTGGGTGTCCCGGATCGGATTAGTTGGAAATTTTTTGAGATCCCCACATGACACTTGCTATCCATGCCAAGTTTGGTCGAGATCGGTAAAGTAGTTTCCGAGATTCTCGTGCGGACACACAGACAGACAGAGAGAGAGAGAGAGAGAGAGAGAGAGATTATTACTATTGTTAGACACACAACACGCACTACTACTACTACTACAACTATTGCTAATACTTTCTTTTAAATGGCCTCCAGCTTCCCCAAGCCATGCTTCTTCGCCACCATTTTATTACCATAAAATAAATATCCTAATACATAAGTTGCCACCTGGCTGTGTTGAGTTAGTTGTGCTGCAGATCTATGCGGCATTCAGTGGCTGTTGCCTCAAAGTCAATATCTGCAACTGTTGTCGGCTTTGGGGGATGCTCTCGTTCCCCTGAGGCCGAGCAAAGCCGACCTGAGGAGAGAGAAGGACAGTCGACATCTCACCTAGGCTGTAACATAACTTCTGAGCTGTTGCTTCTGTTCGGAGATCACCTCCGCGAGTCTGGCGTAGAAGCATCTTGCACTTGGTCCCATCCCACCAGAGGTTGTGAACACCAGAGGAGAGAAGCTTCCCTCGAGCACTGACGTCCACACCTCCTGCGTTATAGCTACCTTTTTTTTTCTTCAAGTTCACTGTCAGTTGTTGAAGTTTATCACATTGGGTGTGGTGCCATTTTTTGTCGTAGTGGAACGTCGAATCTTGTATAATTCGTTGTAGTCCTTCTCGCCCTCTGCATGGGCTCAGTGAGGGCTGCCGTGAGCTTGAGAGAGTTCTGGTGTTCTGTACGGACAAACTCCACTGAATCAGTAATTCCCATTCCTCCCAGTCTCGGTGGTAGTGCAAGGAGTGACGCTTCTGCTGGGGTTAGGTGGTGGCTTTTTACTAGTGTTGGGATAAAAACGACGCTGATGGCTTCTTCCAGAGGGTGGAAGGAGTGTCATATCGGGGATGGTACGCATCAGGTAACTCCAGCGGTGCTTGACTCCATGGGTGACTACTGCAATCGCCGCATGTGGATCTGTGTTAGCAATATCAGACAGAGTTTGACTTTCCTTCACCCACTCATTTACCTTTCCCGTTACGTACTCGATCTTGAAATCATTCGTGCCGATTACCACACCTAGATGTCTTTGGCTTTTACTACAACTACAAATAGTAATACACGAATAAGGTGTCTGTTAATAATAGCAACGGTGATAATGACAATAAATAATAATAATAATAATAAACCATAAAATATTTCAGTTTCAAAACACTCTTGGAGTCTTCATTCAGCTCAGCGTAACAACAGCAGATGAAAAATTATCCCGGATAATTGTCAAATGTTGATGGCTAATGTATTAACTAACTTAGAACACACGTTTAAAACACCTTAGTTGTTGAAGCACAGTAAAACCCTTCTGTATATATATATGCAGTATACAGTATATATTTCCTAGGCCACGGATGAACGCAGTAATTTATATTTTTTTCTCGGATGATAGATACGTATTGGTGTCCTAATTAACCTGCCCCCTCCCGCCCTGCTAAAATACCTGACTATAGAACTCCACACCTGACTATAGAGCTCCACACCTGACTATAGAGCTCCACACTGAAAGAGCTCACACCTGACTATAGAGCTCCACACCTGACTATAGAACTCCACACCTGACTATAGAACTCACACCTGACTATAGAACTCCACACCTGACTATAGAGCTCCACACCTGACTATGACCCTGATTGAACTCACACCTGACTATAGAACTCCACACCTGACTATAGAACTCCACACCTGACTATAGAACTCCACACCTGACTATGCTCCACACCTGACTATAGAACTCCACACCTGACTATAGAGCCCACCTGACTAGAACTCACCTGACTATAGAACTCCACACCTGACTATAGAGCTCCAGACACGTACTAAAAACCTGCCTCTTACCGTTCTAGATTCATATGATTCATCGTGACAAATGTGAGAGGGAGGGAGGGAACACCTGTTAAGACACCGAATATTTAGCGTGGGAGGAGGGAGGAGGGAGGGAGGGTGGAGGGAGGGGAGGGAGTGAGGGAGGGAGGGAGGGAGGATGTGAGGTGGAAGATGGTTGGGGAGAGAGAGAGAGAGAGAGAGAGAGAGAGAGAGAGAGAGAGAGAGTTGTGGACCATAAACATTAAGTATTTGGTTCACACTAATGACAGCACGGTGAGTTGATGCTACATGTCCGAATGTCTTCACTCTTTAACAGTTCATATTAGTTTATTATTAGAACGTGTGTGTGTGTGTGTGTGTGTGTGTGTGTGTGTGTGTGTGTACGTGTACGGGTACGTGTGTGTGTGTGTGTACGTGTACGTGTACGTGTACGTGTGTGTGTGTCAGTTGGTTTTTCTGATGTATATTCTTGAGTAAATTTACATAGTTGCCAGTGATGATTTATCTGTTCATATTTTTTTCATTTGTTATTCTTATTAATGATATAAATTTGATAAGAGAAACGTCAAATTCAACCCGGAAATATAATAACAACAACAACAATAATAATAATAATAATAATAATAATAATAATAATAATAATAATAATAATAATAATAATAATAATAATAATAATAATAATAATAATAATAATATATATAAAAATGACAAAAATTAAATATAATAAAAATCGACTCGAATACAGTAAATAAAATTAAAATAAATCGAAGTGAAATAAAAGGAATCGACCTCACGTGGTGTCTAGTGTGTGTGCCAACTACGCCCGTGTTCCTAGGGCCTTGTGTCCCCTCCCTCCCACAGTGCCACCGTCTGCCTCCCCACAGTACCATCTGCCTCCTCCCACAGTGCCACCGTCTGCCTCCCCCACAGTGCCACCGTCTGCCTCTCCCACAGTGCCACCATCTGCCTCTCCCACAGTGCCACCATCTGCCTCTCCCACAGTGCCACCGTCCGCCTCTCCCACAGTGCCACCATCCTGTCTTATTGGTAGTGACGAGTGATAGCCATACAGCAGGGATAACTGTAGATATTGACTATGAGGCAACAGTCACTGAATGCCGCATAGATCTGTGGCTCTACCAACTCAACACAGGCAGGGTAGCGACTTATGCATTAGGATAGTCAATTTTAAGGTAATAAAATGGTGGCAAAGGTGTGGCTATTGGGGGAGGATGGCGGCCACTTTAAAAAATAGTAGTAGTAGTAGTAGTAGTAGTCCTTATAGTAACAGTAGTAGTAATATCTGAGATGATGTAATGGTAACACGAACATGACAACATACGATAACATCAATAAATCATAATGGTAGCGGTAGTAACGGGGCGTGGAAGTGAGTTATCTGGGCGGGATGTGAAAAGTTTTCCCTTGCGGTGCCAAAAACAAACTGCGGAGTTCCCCGAGCGTCTGGAACACTTCGCCGCCCCACCCCACATCAACAAGTCTCTATTTATTTTCTGACTGCGTCTTAAACTCTAGGTGGCGTAGTTCTCTTTTTGCCTTATTTGTATATTTTCCCAAAGGAAATTATTTCAGGGGCGGTGTTGTTGTGTTGTGTGTCCATTGACCTCGGGAGAGACAACAACGAGATACGACAGATTCTCAAGTTTGTTGCCGCCTCTGTGTGGGGTTGTCCTCTGCCCGTCTTCACCAGGGGACGACACAAAAACTTCCCAGCTCTCAGACGTTGTTTGAACCTGTTCTGTTTATAACTGATTCAATTAACACCATAACTTCGTCTGTGTATAAATGTTAGCCTTCACCCCTATATGAATGGTCCCGGTTTGTTTATGTTTAAGATCAGCTGTTGTCCTCACGTCTAAACTCTTACCGCCCCCTGTTTTACACCAACCCCTTCTCACCTCCCCCGTGCTCTTCCTTCTTCGTCAGAAGGCCGCGGGACATCCCCAAAGTAATTATAGAAGACCCTTCCCTCTTGACCTCGCCACTCAGGGGCCATTCCCTCCCTGTGGGAGATGCATCCCCCCCACTTCCTCCTTCCCCTTATGTTCAACCTCTTCGCTCTGATCCACTTCCCCCTCTCACTTTAGACCACCGTCCCATTCCGCCTCCCTCTCTCTACGAGCCACTTCTTCCTCTCACCTCTCCCAATTCACACCCCCTTACCCCATCTGAACCGCCTCCCCCTCACCACTGTTGGAGGTGGTGGAGGTCTTGCCAGAACCACCTGTACAACTGCGACTCTCGCCGCCACAGAAACACGCGGCAAGAATATGCGCAACATCCCCCGCCTTAAAAATGCCTACGTTAATTTTTCTCTTCCGTAACTGGTGGTGGGAGGGTGGCCAGGCCAGGGAGGGCGGCCAGGCCAGGGAGGGCGGCCAGGCCAGGGAGGGTGATGATCATCACATATGTCAGGTTTCGTCAGCGGGTCGCGTGAGTAGGTAGGGCGGTCAGTGACGTGTGTGTGTGGCCACGTATGTAGAAACATCACCCGTGACCACACATACACTATCCTTGACCCGATGATAACTTGTTACAGATGACCGAACACCGGGTGAAAAGGTCATAGGTCAAGGTTACACCTTTGACACTTGCTAAGCTAACCTAACGCACCCTCGCCCAGTTCATCATCTGAGTGTAAGGAGGAAGTTAGGCACTGTATTGCTCTGGCGCCGCAGGATGTCAGGAGTGCACAATAAACTAGCCCCTGTGGCCACTTTGGGATTCATGCGACGAAGAAAAAACTGTAGGGTCAGTTACTTCCTCCCTCAAGTGTAGTCCATGAAAGACCCTGTGTTTAGGGCTACGACCACCCAAGACTCCGTTACAACACCACGTACAACAACAAGGACAACAAGAACACGCACCTCGTTACGTACATACTAGACAGGGGACAAAACAATGCCATAGAAAGTTGATTTTTTTTTTTTGGTGGCTGAGGTCAGTGATTAGCGTTCATCTTATACTGTACAGCCTTTGTTGATGGTGGTCACAAGGTCATCTTTGTGTTGTGTGGGTGGGTGGGTACATGTGCAGTGAGCATGGTTGGCACTTGGCTGACGTCCTGTGCACTACTTCCGGCTCTCACGTGGTTTCTGGCAGTGCCGGTGCAGGTGCCAAGCGTCAGTGCCACATGGGCTAGGGGTGGGGGTAAAGAGGAGGACAGGGGGTAAAGGGATTGGGTAGGTGTTTGCTCCCACCATCTGGGTAACGCCGTTGTTGGGGGAGAGGTCAGGGTTGGGGACACAGAGAGGGAGAGAGAGAGAGAGAGGGGGGGGTGACACGCACTAAGAGAGAGAGAGAGAGAGATTAACACGATGAGAGCCACATCATCCCTTTAATTGTTATCTGTTAAAAATAAATCATAAAGTTTACTAAAGTGTTTGAGTTTCTGTGGCTCAGCAGCTAAGGTCTTTAAACTCGTAAATAATTTAGTGTGTGTGTGTGTGTCTGTCTGTCTGTCTGTCTGTCTGTCTGTCTGTCTGTCTGTCTGTCTGTCTGTCTAGGTTATCAACAACTTACGAAAATAATAATAAAAAAAAACATTGACACATGAGCCATTTCTATGCCTCACCTGTGTACTGTACATCTCATCTTAATTATTGTATGAGAGGTGTGCCAGGTGCGTCGTTAAGCCAACACACCTTAGATACTGTGTTAGGTTGAGAGGATTGACACGAAATGAGAGCAGCTTCCTGTTGGTCTGCTTATCAGGTGCAGTGTGTGGTGGGAAGACGGTCACCTGTAGCTTCCTGTTGGTCTGCTTATCAGGTGCAGTGTGTGGTGGGAAGACGGTCACCTGTAGCTTCCTGTTGGTCTGCTTATCAGGTGCAGTGTGTGGTGGGAAGACGGTCACCTGTTGCTTCCTGTTGGTCTGCTTATCAGGTGCAGTGTGTGGTGGGAAGACGGTCACCTGTAGCTTCCTGTTGGTCTGCTTATCAGGTGCAGTGTGTGGTGGGAAGACGGTCACCTGTAGCTTCCTGTTGGTCTGCTTATCAGGTGCAGTGTGTGGTGGGAAGACGGTCACCTGTAGCTTCCTGTTGGTCTGCTTATCAGGTGCAGTGTGTGGTGGGAAGACGGTCACCTGTAGCTTCCTGTTGGTCTGCTTATCAGGTGCAGTGTGTGGTGGGAAGACGGTCACCTGTTTGCTTCCTGTTGGTCTGCTTATCAGGTGCAGTGTGTGGTGTTGGGAAGATAATGGTCACCTGTAGCTTCCTGTTGGTCTGCTTATCAGGTGCAGTGTGTAATTGGGAAGACGGTCACCTGTTGCTTCCTGTTGGTCTGCTTATCAGGTGCAGTGTGTGGTGGGGAAGACGGTCACCTGTTGCTTCCTGTTGGTCTGCTTATCAGGTGCAGTGTGTGGTGGGAAGACGGTCACCTGTAGCTTCCTGTTGGTCTGCTTATCAGGTGCAGTGTGTGGTGGGAAGACGGTCACCTGTAGCTTCCTGTTGGTCTGCTTATCAGGTGCAGTGTGTGGTGGGAAGACGGTCACCTGTAGCTTCCTGTTGGTCTGCTTATCAGGTGCAGTGTGTGGTGGGAAGACGGTCACCTGTAGCTTCCTGTTGGTCTGCTTATCAGGTGCAGTGTGTGGTGGGAAGACGGTCACCTGTTACTATTGGTTGTCAAGACACAAGGTATAAGAGCTAATAGTGCACCTGAAGATTAACCCCCCTGTCTCACCCCACAAAAGATTATTGTATTATACCTTGATTAACACACCCTAACCTAACCTAACCTAACCTAACCTAACCTAACCTAACCTAACCTAACCTAACCTAACCTAACCTAACCTAAAGTTAACCCCAACCAGCTTATTTCACCTGGAGATTAACACCTCAACCAGCTTATTTCACCTGGCAGCTATTTCACCTGGAGATTAACCCCAACCAGCTTATTTCACCTGGAGATTAACCCCAACCAGCTTATTTCACCTGGAGATTAACCCCAACCAGCTTATTTCACCTGGAGATTAACCCCAACCAGCTTATTTCACCTGGAGATTAACCCCAACCAG